GCGTGCGTGCGTGCGTGCGTGCGTACGTGCGTGCGTACGTGCACGCACGCGCGCGCGCGCGCGCGCGTAGCTGCCGCTCCGGTCGTGTCGTTACACTCGGTTCGGTCACGTTATTTGCGCGAGAGAGCGACTTATAAGTCCGTAATATTCGGAAGCCGAGATAGCTAATGAAACGTGTTACCTTTCAGGAGGCGCGAACGCGCGAACGCCCCGATGCATGCGCATGCCTCCGCGCTGGAAGCGCGCGCGTGTGCGCGCGTGTGCGTGTGTTTGCGCGAAACCACCACGCGGCCCCTCCCTCCTCCGTGTAACGTGTCTGTAGCGTGATGTTAATACGGACTTTCTACAATGGCGTGCCTGGTGCGCGCGGGTAAACGCTAATGTCGCGTCAAACGCATCGCGTGTACGTACGTACGACGAAAATGATAATGTAAATCCGAGATAAAAATTGCCACAACAACCTAGCCCAAGCCAACCCAACCCAGCCGACGCGCTGCGTTTCGCCTCCTCTTTCTTTTCCCGCTCCCTCCCGCCGCCCTCCCTCCGCCCCCCGGCGAACCCTTCGCCGCCGCCGCCGCCGCCGCCGCTTCTTCAAGAGGAAGAAGCTGCTCGTGTGTACACATATCGTCGTCCGAGAAGCAATTTGTGAACTCCGCGATTTCTCCGCCGCGCGATCGACGATGATCTCGAGTGACCATCGTATAAGTGATAAATGAGGGAGAGAGACAGAGAGAGCTTTTCTCCTCTCCGGGAATCGGGAGAGATTCGGTCACGGGTGAAAATTTAATGCGATTTTAATCGGCGGCGATTTTAATCCACGCCGGGGCGACAATGGGCAGCCGATCCCCGGCGACGGGGATCAAATCGGGAACTAACCAGCCTTAGACAGAAAAAAGGACAGGCGGCGAGGAAGCGGGAGGGAGAAGGCGAACGAGTCGGCGGACAATGGCAGAAATTATGAAAACGCGCGCGCGCGCGCGCGCGCGGCCAACAAAAGCATCCGCGACGCGATGAAAAACGCGCCACGGGATCGTCATATTGCCACTTTGTCGCGCACGGAGTCGCGCGGCTGAACTTGGCCGGCTTGTTCCCCGGCTGTTTTACATTGAAATGAAAAAAAAATGGAGATGGCGCGCGGCGGATCATCTTCATTCCGCGCGAATATTCCGGCCGCCGCGCGCGCGCGTGCAATATCCGCGCTCTCGCCGCGGCCACTAATCATCCCGGCCCGTCGCCGCCGCCGTCGCCGCCATCGTCGTCGTCGTCGTCGTCGTCGTCGCGCGCGCGCTTCCAAGTGCGCGGCAAGTCTAATTACGGCGTCGACGGCACCGACGCTCTCTCGCCATTAACGAGCTCTGCGCGATCCTGCGAGCGCGCGCGCGCGCGTTCGCGATATTCGCGAGTAAACAGCCGGCCGCTCGCGCGACGGATTTCTCTCCGGCGCGTTCGATTGCGGGCAATTAAACGGCCGCGCTTATTACGAGAGATAAAAGAAGGGGGCAATGGCTCTCTCGCGCGCACAGCGCCATAAACATCCGATCGCCTCGAGATCGATCGACGCGACGGCGAAGGAGCGAGCGGCCGCGTGAGCGGCATATTGTAATGATGTGATTAATCGCCGGTATGCCGCGCAAATTCAAAACGGCGGCGTTTGCGACTGCCGATGCCCGACGCCGCGCCGTTTATTTACGGCGTCCTCAGGATCTCGCCGATGAATGAAGCCGCGGCGACGCGGCGGACATTGCATTTTGTCTGACGCTTATCGCTCGTTCTCGTTAATTGCTCCCTCTCGCGATGAGGAGTCCGTCTTGCGAGCCGGGCACGCGGAAATCCCGTCGTCCGCCGCTCGCTTGAGTTTCGCGCTTATGTTGTTATTTCGACAAACAAACACACACACACACACATACACACACACGCACACACCTCTGATCAGAGTTCTCGTTAAGTCGGCGAACTCGGTCGCAAACTCCGGCCTGCCGATCGGCCGGATACATATCCGCCGCGGGATGATCCTCGGAAGAAAAGGCGCGAGAGAGAGGGGAGGGGGGAGAGAGAGAGAGAGAGAGAGAGAGGAGAGCAAATGACCGCCCCCTCGAAGTTCCTAGGCGAGGGAGCGACCAAAGGAATCGTGTCTCTTTAAAGTTATCGGGAGCAATCTCCCCCGGTTGCCACTGTTACAATTTCAAACAGTTCTGCGTTTCATTTATTTTTTATCGGGGAGAAGTTTGTTGACCTTGCAGTGCGAAACGCCAGGAATACATTGGTGGAGGCACGAAAGTGGGGTAGGCGACTGTGATGGTGGTGGTGCCGGCGGGCGGGCAGGGCGAGGGAGGAGGAGGAGGAGGAGGAGGAGGAGGAGGAGGAGGAGGAGGAGGAGGAGGAGGAGGAGGAGGAGGAGGAGGAGGAGGAGGAGGACGAGGAGGAGGAGGAGGAGGAGAACGACGAGGAGGTGGTGGAGGCGGAGGACGGCGGCGGAAAGTGGACGACGAGGGGTCGCGGGGGTCGCGAGGGTTGCGGCGGTCGCGGTGGCGGTGGCGGCGGCAGCGGCGGCGGCGGCGAGGGGTTGCCCCCGGAGTGGGATGAATCGGAGGCGAGGCGAGTTATTTCGTGCGAAGTGTGCATTGCCCGAATTTGCCTCCGTGCATTTTTTTGCTCGCTCGATTCCCGCGCTACTCCATCATCCGCGACGCGCCTAAACATGGTCGCGCGCGGTAGAGACGACGACGACGACGACGACGACGACGATAACGACGAGCGCAGCGTCGCCGAAAGGTGCGCGCACCGCACCGACACGACTACTCCACCGTCCTTCTTCTTTCTCGCCCCCGCTCTCCCCCTCTCTCACCCCGTCGCGCGGCGACGCGGTGTGCTCGGCTGGTTACTTTATAATTGTCCCGGCGGAACGAAATAATTCGACTCTTTGATGGCCAATTAGCGCCGAGCATGGGCCTCCCCCCCTGCCCTCTCCTCTCCCTCCGGCGGAGACGCTCTTTTCGATAAAAGTCATTTTATCCGGGGCGCGCGCGCGCGCGCGCGCGCTCGCGATTGTTCGATAAACGTTTACGGAATGCGGCGCGGAATTTCATTATTGGTCACAGCATAGATCTTGAGGGTAGTAATAACAGTAGGGGGTGGGGAGGGGAGGGGGGCGTGTGTAATGACTCCAGAGCTATTACCGAATAAATAGTATTAGCGCCTCCGCGCCATTATAATTGCGCGGTAACTGGTAATTCGACGTAATCTCCAGGGAGGTGGGGGCGGCGCGGCGGGGCGAGAGGGAGGAGGGAGGACGTGGCGCAATATTGCGCGGCGCGAGTCGTCACGAGTAATAATCATTAAAATTGCCGATGCGCAACAACAATCTCGCCGGTCGACATCGCGGCAATTACGCGCGCCGGATTGTTCATCCAGGCCGAGCGACATTTTTCGCGAATCTTCTCCACTGCGGATCGACGCTATCCGCGCGCTCTCGAGGTTAATCCCGCCGACCGATCCGCGGCCCCTTTCTTCTCTCTGGGTCATCTGACCCGAGGCGGCGGCGGCGGCGGCGGTCGGGTGCCTAAATTGAAAGTACGGCCGTACGGTACGGCCTTAAAAGTGCGACTAACGACAGGTTGGGTTAGACTCACTCTCTCTCTCTCTCTCTCTCTCTCTCTCTCTCTTTCTCTCTCTCTCATTCTCGGGCTTCGCGTGTCTGCGTAGCGTCTGGCCACGTGTGTCTTGCACCGACTCGCCTGGCGGGCCGCCTCGCCTCGCCTCGCCTTCGCTTGGCACGGCTCTCTTTCGCGAGTTTTTTGACTTCGCGTTGCGAACCTCCCGGGGGAACTGTTTCGCCGGTCCGTTTCAGACCGAATTTAAAGCGCGCGTGCTGGTGAAAAGGAACACCGTGCAAAGGGTGCAACGGAGGGCCGGCGCGGCGGGGCGTGCGGTGAGTGCGGCGAAGGGGGCGGCGCCGGAGAAGGCAAGAGGAGACGACGAGGGAGCCGGCGCTGGAAAATCGCGCGCGAGCCGAAATAAAGAAGCGCAGGCGGCAGCATTTTCGGTAGCGTCGTCGCGAGTCGTCGCCGTGTAATTGAAATGATTATCCGACTCGTAATATCGCGGACTGATGGTCGTCACGTTCGCGTCGCATCGTGCCCTCCCCGCCGCCTCTATTTTCTTTCCTCTCTTCTCCTCTTCTCTCGCCCTTTCTCTCTCTCTCTCTCTCCCTCTCTCTCTCTCTCTCTCTCTCTCTCTCTCTCTCTCTCTCTCTCTCTCTCTCCTTTTCGTTAATGGACGATGAAACGTAATTTTAATATCAATTGACCGTACGGTTGCGCACTCTATGAGCCTCCCTCCCCCTCCCCTTCTCCCTTTGTCGCGCGCGCACGCGCGATTTTATTAACAATCATTTTATTTGAATATCAATTACTCGGTGTCATTATGCGTTCGGGTTTTTACCGACGATTATTAACATCCGCGCCTCGCGAGCGCCGACGAGCGCACAAGTCAATTAGATTATTACAAGCGCGTGAGATGAATAATTGTTTTATCGCGCGGGCTCGCGCGTCCGCTGATTTCGACGAGCATGTTTGGCAACTACCACCTGATTAACGCGTAACGATACCGTTAATTTTCTCCTACGCGATCGCACGTCCGGTAATATTCATGAGTTTTTACTCCGCTCCGGCGCTGATTGCATAATGCCGCTTATTACGTCCGCAATCAGCCCTGAACTACGTCGGACTATCCTCGTCAATTTGCCCGCGGCGCGTTCTTGCGCGCGCCACGTGCGTGCGTGTGTGCGTGCGTGCGTGCGTGCGTGCGTGCGTGCGTGTGCACCGCTCTGTGCATGCGCTCGCTATTTTCCCCTCTTTTTTTTTTTCACATAACCGAAGCCCGCGATCGCGAAGCGCGATACCGTCGTCAATCGCATCGCCGGGAATCAATGCGCGCTTTGCGTCTACTAGACACGCGCTGCGTAATGCGACGCTTCGCAAGCGTTCAAGTTGCATGCTCACCATTCGGCGTTCAGCGACGTCCAACCAGCCACCCGGGTCTTGTCCTCGGTCCGCGCCGTCCAGGTCGGAGCCTCCTCGGCAGCCAGCACCGCGTCCGGTCGCTGCCTCGCTCACTTGGTCGGCACTCGCGAGCGCGGCCATTTTTTCGCGACGATTTGTCGGCCAGCGGAAAATGCGCGGCGCATTTGGGCGTAGGACGCACTCGATAGAAATCGCGAGCCCGAAGAGCGCGACGGCCTTCGACAGGGTCTCGCGTGGGAGGACAAACGGCAAAAACGCGGGAATCCGCGAGATTCCCAATTTCCCGAAGAAGACATGCGCGGTTAGGCTCGAACGGTTCGGCTTCGCGAACATCCATAGATCGCGCGACTAGTCGCGCCGATTCCGAAGTCTTACGAGCGCCCCCAAGCGCCGAATCTGCGACGCGACAGTTCGAGTCTTCGCGCGGCCAGTTTCCCGACTCGCCGAAATTCCGGGGGCCCAGGGCCGACCACGTTGCGCTACGGGCCTGGGCAAAAGGAAGAAAAGGGAGAAACAGAGCGAAAAAGAAAAGGGAAACAGTTTCGCCGATTAGAGATACGAGAGCGTGGAGCGCTCGCCGAGGGAAAACGCGCGCAGATATCGCGAGCGCGGCAACACTTGGCGATCGCAGTAACTCAAGCGTGTTTGGCTGATCCAACGAGAGCGCGATCCGGTTCTCAATCGCAAAAAGCGCAGCGCGCGGGGCCACGGGAAATCCGTAGAGCCACCTTCGCGCTGAGCCTGCTGGCCGCGCGAGCCGGCACTCCGGCGTTCGGTGTCCGCCGAAGCTGCATTTCCTCCCCGCGGGAGGAAAAGCCGCATCCGCATCGTCCGGCCGCGAACTCTGGCGGGTCTGAAACAAAAAGGCCCATTTCTCTCGGTTAGTCGTGTCGAAAATTCGCGGCCTCGAGGGGCAGCATGTATTATCCCCTCGGGACCGACCGAGCTGAAGAGTGCCTGGCACCCTTAACTCTTAAGAGTTACTACCAAATATCAGCCCGAGCCAACTTGTCTTGTTGTGTTTGTAGCAAAGTAGACGCGAGGACCGATCTGTTTCATCATAATGTTGTCACTACTGGTAGTGTGAACGAATAAAATTACCCATGAAATTACACTGTCGGGGTGATGATGTTTTCTGATGGGATCGAAATTTCGCACAGGGTGAAATTTCACCCATGGTCGCAGCCCTTAAGGGCTGCTGTCTCTGCTCGGCGCGATGTTAAGGGCTGTTGTGACTGCTTGGCCCTTTGGTCACGTGACCTTCGCTTGGCGAGACGCGCCGGAGAACATCGTTACGTAGGTTTCGCTCGCTCGCGATTACCTGACGATCCCCGATGCTCGAATATCCCCGTTTGTGTATTTCTCTACGGGAAATAAAGAAGAACGCTGAAGCAAGCTATGCGAGCAATTGGAAAACTGAAAAATTACGTTGTATAACGTTAGGAAGTGCAAACGAGGGAGAAGAATTTTCTTCCCCGTGATTAGCAGCTTTTTCCGCGAAGTGTCGCAACTGACGCAACGAGTCGCCTCGAGCTGAAATCGACAGAAGGCAAAAAGAAATCGCAGGCATGCGACGTGCGACACGCAAAAGTACGTGTCGTCCTTGCGGTGGATTCGTGGATCGGTTTTGCAGGATACAGATTTCTAAAGATTCAGGATACATCAGGATACATCAGGCAACCGAAATGGTTCGTGCCGGTTCTAGCTCTTGTCATTGTCAAACTGCACGTGCGCGCGTTGTCAATTAAAAAGTGTGGTTATGTGTGCCTAAACGAAAGCTTATTCAACAGAGAATTCATTCAAAGTGTACGACACTTATGGAAATTAATTGTTTAAAGTTTTGCATATACCAAAGCGGCGCGAACTTTCTTGATTACCCGATACGCTGAAATGAACGGGAGAACATTGGAGAAAGTAATGAATAAACCTCCATATTAGTGTTCCAGATTTCAATAATCCTAACCTGAATACACGGCGACGACTCTGAGCAACATTCGAAGAGTTCCATTGTCGTCGCTCATTGTTTATGAAAAAGTTATCAACGGACAAAGTTTGAAGAACACGCTGGCCAACTTTGACATCACTTTAGCACTTTCGAGGAAATATTACACGTGCGAGTGAGCTTTTATCCTACGATCCTACGAGAACCCGACTGGTCTAACCTACGTCACTGTCAAGTTTAAAAATTTGCGGAGCTCCATGTTTGCATATTCAACGTAAATTAATACAGTGCAGTAATAAACCGCAAAGCACACTATATACCATCTATATCATATAATAATCACATTATATGATAAAAAGTTGATTTCTCTCGAAACGAGACGAGATTAGATCAGGTCGCAGGGGGTTAGGTTAGGTTAGGTTAGGTTAGGACGAGCTCATGTTAGATAAGGTCAAACCTGTTTTATCGGCGACTTTTTAACGAACAACGAGCGCGACGGAGCTGAAGCCTCTCGAATGTCGCTCAGGACGATGACCTTGACAGCGTGTGTCAAGGTCGACCTGATCCCAAGGATCGTTAACGCGAGGCCTCCTCCCGATAATCATCGAGACAGCTAATCGGTGCCTCGGCAAAAGGGCGACAGCGACTTCCCGCGAGTCTTCTTTGCTGCGGGATGAATGAAGCGTCGCGGGAGGGGGGAGGAGGGCCGCGAAGTCGCGCATCGCGGCGCAAATCAAAACCGAGACGGAGCCTATTGATCGCTTTCTTGGCGCGTTTGTCCGCGACTGTCGGTCGGCGGCGTTTACAGGCGTTGTGCAGCCCGCATAATTGCCGCTCGCCGAAAAAGTCAGAGAGAGAGAGAGAGAGAGAGAGAGAGAGAGAGAGAGAGAGATGAGTCCTCGGGAGAACGGCGCGCGAAATTGCCGCGCTTAGAGCACATTTCGCCCACATGTCAGCGCTTGCTCGAGCGAGTCGCGCGCGCGCGCGCGCGCGCGCGTGCACATCCGAGCTGAATGCCGCTGCTCCCTCGGCGTACGGAGTACGAAAGAAGTCCCGAGGCGAGGCGAGCTATATTAATTAAAACACGCGGAGGTAAACGATCGGCGGTCACCCGGCGGCAGCGGCGGCGGCGGCAGCGGCGGAGGAGGAGGGGAGAACGCGCGCGGCAGGGCTGTCGTGGCCGGCTTCGTGTACATAATTGCCGTGATTACGGCTACGTCAGTTCGGTGCATCTAGCTGCGCGTGCATGCGTGCGCGCGCGGCGGATTCAGTTGATCCGGGTGCGCGTAACGGCGCGCGGCGCGGCGCGGCGCGGCGCGGCGGAAACGCTGGCAACTCCGCGCGACGGAGTAATGCGCAGCATCATTATCTGGAGCAGTGCTCAGCGAGAAGCATCATCCGAAGAGAGCTCGTTAATTTGCGCGCGCGCGAGCGCGCGAGAGCGACAAGTCGAACGCGCCTCCGCGAGCGGCGTCGGCTCGCGACGGCTCGCGAGGCGCGATCTTCCGAAATAGAAGACGAAGAGGGACAGGCGGAAACGAGCGGGACAAAGTCGCTCGCTCTCTTCCCCCTGTCTTCCCCGCCCCCCGCCGCCACCGCCTCCTCCTCCTCCTCCCTCCTCCCCCCGCCCAAGCCCGGATTCGCGCGCGTGCGTTTCGGCAGACGATTCCCGCGGGAGGTTTGTTGTTCATCGCGCGCGCGGATGAATACCTCGGGGATGAATAATCGCGCGATTATCTAATATCTGAAGCCGTCTCGCGCGCTGTTAAGCCGAGACGTGCGCGCGAATTTCGAGGCGACGCGTTCCGGAACAAGAGGGAAAGATCGACGACCCCGGCTAGTCCCTCTCCCTCCCTCTCCCTCTCTCTCTCTCTCCCTCTCTCTCTCTCTCTCTCTCTCTCTCTCTCTCTCTCTCTCTCGCTCTCTCTCGACTTCTTGCTACAATTTCCGGACGCGAATGCGGCACTTCGCCCGCGGGGCGCGCAAAAAAGCAGCGCGCCGTGCGCGGAGCGAGCCAGAAAACGGCGGCGGCGTAATATATACGCGCGGCGCGCATTTTTCCGGCGTTAATGCGCTGAAATCAATAGCGGTAATTACGTAGAAAGCCCCGGTCGGCCGGCCGGCCGGCGTGTCGTCGAAATGACTTACTGCCGGCCGGGATCTCGCCGGCCGTCGACGGCGAGTACGTGATTTCGCGCGAAAACGTATCGCCCGCCACGGCCGCTGGCCGCAGGAGGACCGGGCGCACGGAGGGGCCGGGGGAGAGGAGGGGGAGGAGAGAGGGAGCGCGCGTGATTGCGATAGATATTTTCCCCCGATAAACGGCCTCTCTTCGCATACCGCGTCCGCGTCGCCGCGGTCGCTCGCACACGCATCGGCCGCTCTCGCGGAACTTATATAATTGGGGTAATCAGCCGCAAGTGTGTGTCTTACTCCGCTCTATCGCCGCTCCGTTAATTCTGGCTTTGCGGCTGCTCGAAACGCCGCCGCCGCCGCGCCGTCGCGTCCGGCGTTTCGCGCTGTTTTCCAGCGCCTTCCTGCTGCGAGGCGGTCCATCTCGCCGCGCGCGAACCTGTAATCCCTCCGCGGATTAATAGCCCAGTCGGCGAGAGAGGGAGAGAGGGGTGGCGGGACGGGAGGAGAGACGCGCGAGGAGCAAACAGAAGATCGGGAAACGATATTTGCCAAAGTACGAGCGAGATAAGAATCTCGACTCCGGCGCGAGCGCTTCTCTCGCTCTGTATATATTTTCTAAAATTGACGGAATCTGGCGAGACGGTGGGGCGCGGAGGGGGGGGGGAGGAGGGATGTCGCGTACGGTATATCGCTCTTCGGGGCATTAGGAGTCGATTTTCGCCGCTCGCTTCTCCTCCCTCTCTCCCTCTCCCTCTCTTTCTTTCTCTCTCTCTCTCTCTCTCTCTCTCTCTCCTCGTCTCCTGCCGTTTTCTTTCCTGTCCCCCGTTTTGTGTTTTTTTTCTCTCTCCGGCGGATCGAATCGCGACGGATCGGCGAATGTATCCGATCTCGCAACCGGCAGAGGGCAGTGTCGACCGCACGGCGGCGATCGGCGGCGGTCGTCGACGCGCTTTTTACAGTCGTCCGGCTCCAGATACGAGAGAGCCCTGCCTGTAAGTGCAATTCAGATCGGTGTCGAGATGACGGTGCGCAATCGCTTTTCTAATTAATTCGCGTTTCATCGGCGCTCCGTCGTCACGGGATGTTTTGCGCAGCGCGATACGAGAGCGCGCACGTCAATCTACCGTTTAATCGAACTTTCCAATCAGATAACCCGCGCTGCGCGAGGTTTCGCGTCCGCCGAGGCAAGCAGCAACGCTCGGTTTGTTTCGCGCCGCGCGCGATAACGTCATTATCGCGAGATCGCGCCTAGCCTGGCCTCGGCCTCATCCGCGGAGCTCGGTTTGGACCTTCGAGGGACGCTGCGCCGCCGAGGTCCGACGAGGTGAGGTGGCCCAACCTGCCGAGCCTCAGTTTGCGAATTTCGACCTGAGCTGTCTAACGCCTGTAGTTCCTGAAGCAGCAACGGAGATTGCTGACGTTTAAGTCTCACTCGCTGCCTCCGAATGAACGAAAAGACACTCAATCCGCCATTTGCAGGCTGCTAAGAGGACTTCTCTCTCTCTCTCTCTCTCTCTCTCTCTCTCTCTCTCTCTCTCTCTCTCTCTCTCTCTCTCTCTCTCTCGGCAGGGACAGCTTAGCTTAGATAGAATCGAGATAGGTTGATGCAGGGTTGCGTGCGGGAGCATCAACCGGACCGGAGAGTCAAGTCAAAGTCGAAGGGTAGGATAAAAATTTCGACTCGGGCGCGACGTCGCGCGTCGAGACGCATTCGCGTCGCTGGAATCCCTTGCAGCTGAGAAAGCTGCGCGCGCGTGCGATCATTAACGTCAGC